TTTCTGTTATTCTTCTATGCCGTTTCTATGGTGGGGAAAATTGGAGGGGATTGTATGGAGTTAGATGCGATGTAGCCATAACAACATTCTTCCTAGAAAGCGAAGGTCATCCTTTGTCTTTGCACCTGACCGGAACTGGATGGGAGGAAGCTGCCACCGTGACAGTGGGAGATCGGACCATGGGATGGACTTGTGGGGGTGGGTGGGCAAGATCTTGAACTTTCAACCGGGTGGGGAAAACCGGGAAGCTTTCAGATTCGGGTTTCCCCAGATGTGCCAACGTGGCTCTCTTCACCAATTGGAACTCCGAGGAATGCTTTTTCCTGGACTCTGATTTACTTTTGGATGCTGTTTGGAACCCTGACAAAGAGATGTCAGTGTATGAGACTTCATGACTTGGCAGAGACATGGGTAATAAGGTCAGCCAATGAACAGACCTGGCAACTGGGTCAGCCAATGAGGGTTGTTTGGAAACTGAAACAGTATTTGCTGTGTGAGCAACCAGGAGACAGCAAGGAGCCTGGGCGTGGCTTAGCTCAACTTTTTTTTTTTAATGCTTCCTCGCTTCTCTTCCCCCTCTTCCTCCCCACTGCTTTTCTATTTACTTTTGTATTTTATAATAGTTTATATAAAAAAGTGTGTGTGTGCGTGCGTGCGTTTGGTACACAGATGACTTACTCTCTGGAGACAAATACTGTGGGGGTAAGACACATCTAACACCCCTCGGGGGTGTGTGTTCTGTTAAGATACAGCCTGTTGTGCCCTACTGCCATAAAATGGCTTCTACTGTACAGCGCAGTGGAGTTGCCATGGTAACGGCTTCACGGTACTCCACAGGTTTTGTGAGGAAAAGAAGGAGTAATATCACAGTTGCTTTCGGAGAGTCTGTGTAAGAGATGGGATTGAACCGTGGGTGAGAGAATCCGTGGCTGATGACATTACCTAGAAGGGTAATGAAATGTCTGCAAGGACCCCACAGTTCTCGTTGTTGTCATTCTCCTCCTCCTCCACAACCACCTCCTCTTCCCTGCAACCCCATTCCTTCCTAATACTGATGATGTTACCTAGTTAGGTAATGAGACGTTTGCAGGAAAACAATCAAGGCTCCCACAGTGGATTAATCCCCAGTAGGATTTCCTCTCCCAGCCTCTTCTCGAGTTGCCAATTGGGGTAAAATTAACCCACCACTCCTAGAAAGCCAAGCCACGGAGAAGCCACCACAACGGACCCTCTTGGTAAATTTACAACCAGGAGAGCCGGGGGGGGGGGGGGGGGCACTCACTTCCTATTGCGTGCTTCGGTCAGCTCCATGAGTTGCTCCTGCGCCAACCTCAGCTCATCCAGCCGTTGCTGGTAACGCGAGTCGCAGTTGTTGCTGTGCTCCAGGTTGGACACCTGGTTGGAGAGCTCGTTCGCCCGGTCCCGGAGTTGCTGGATGGAGGAATACAAGTTCTCCTCGTCTTCTTCCTGCAAAAAGAGAAAAAAGGACCCCCAGGTTGCTAGGACTCCTAGAAGAGCCGAGGTGGCGCAGTGGTTAGGGTGCAGCACTGCAGGCCACTTTAGCTGACTGTTAGCTGCAGTTCGGCGGTTCAAATCTCACCGGCTCAGGGTTGGCTCAGCCTTCCATCCTTCCGAGGTGGGTGAAATGAAGATCCGGATTGTTGTTGGGGGCGATATGCTGACTCTGTAAACCGCTTAGAGAGGGCTGAAAGGCCTATGAAGCGGTAGATAAGTCTATTGCTATCTATCTATCTATCTATCTATCTATCTATCTATCTATCTATCTATCTATCTATCTA